AACATAGCGAGCGCCTGGAACTTGATCGCCCACCGAGCTTGGCGGTCGAATTGCCGATCGTCGAGGGCCGACTGCAGATGCGTAAACGCTTGTCCTACTTGGTCGCACAGATGGACTAGACCGTTGGTGCTTTGTCCGACGCCCCAACGAAACACCATCTCGCATCCCATTGGTTGCCCCGTTTCTATCAACTTGAAACAATCGACATGTCGCTATACGGTGTATTCAAGATGTCAACGACGTCTGCGATCGCAAGTATGTAAGAGCGCGGTCGAGGCCGTGGGCGGCGATCGTTGGCGTCGTCGTTGCGAAGCAGATGCGGTAGTAGCCCGGCGCCGGAGCATGCTGCGCCTCACCCGGCGTCATGATGATCTTGGCATGGACAAACAGCGCCTGCGTCAGCGCCTGCTCGGCGGCAAACGTCGGCGCCTCGAGAAAAGCGCGGAGGTCGATCCAGACAAACATGCCGGCGGCCGCGGGCACATACGGCACGTTATGCGCCTCCAGCACGGCGGCGATGGCCGCGTAAGAGGACCGGAGCAGCGCGTTGTTCTCCGCTAGGTACGCTTTGCACCACGGCAGATCACGTAGCATCGTCGCGAGGCTGTCGAGGAGGACGTTCGGGACACCCGAAAAGTATAGCACGTTCGAGAGCGCTTGGCGGACGTCGTCGTTGCTGCTGTGGAGGACGCCGACGCGCAAGCCGGACGTCGCCCAGTCCTTGGAGAAGCCCCAGATGACGTGCACGTGCGATGGAAGGCGGACGTGCCCCGTGGCCGCGTCGACGGTCCCGAGCGACGCGATCGCCGACTCGAACGCGTCAACGCTGTTCTCGGGCGTGTGCACCGAGTTGGCGTAGATCTCGTCGACAATCAGATGCAGTCGCTTTGCCGCGCACCAGTCGGCCAGCGCCCGGATCGTGTCGGCGCTGCGGATGCGCCCGAGCGGGTTGTCGGGGTTGAGGACGACGACCGACTTGGGTGAGGTACCTGCCGCGACCGCGCGGTCGTACGCGGCGTCAAAGGCAGATAGCGAGAGATCGTACGAGCTCATCATGGGAACGTCGAGGACCTTGGTGCCTGCGACAACCGAAAAGTCGTTGTAGAGTGCACCGTACGTGGGCGTCGGGAGGAGGAGGCCGTCGCCATCGTCGTGGAGGAGCGAGCTCAAGTGGGCGAGGAGCGACCCGGCGCCGCTTGAGACGCAGAGGTGAGTTGGGTCGATGCCATTCGTTGACAAAGGCGACGGCAGGAGCGTCGCGTTGATGAAGCTCGCGTACGCGTCCTTGAAGCCTACAACGTTGTGAGCATCTACACTGTCGGTGCAATGATCCTACCGGCGCGGCCCGTAAAGTCGTCGTAGCCTAGCGCCGACTTGTCGACGCCGGCGAGGCTATCGTGGAGCTTGCCAATAAACTAGACGTCGCCATGAGCAAGGTTCGCGTGGATGTTGAGCCTCTACCTTGGGCGCGTTGAGGATGCGGTTCTCGGCGACCGAGACCGCCACGTAGCCGTCGAGGTTGGCCTCGGTCGCATGGTCCTTCATCGCCTCCATGGTCATGGCCCAGTATGAGAGCGCGGGCTGCAGCGCGCGCTGGCCACGCGTCGAGAGGCCGGCCATCGTCAAGTGGATACTTGGTCGAATCCAGAATGATCCCAACTCGGAATTCGATTAGGCGAAAAGTCCCTCAAAGTGCGCGTTTACCGGTGGCAAATGCTTTATGATCTCCAACCGCTCGATAATTGACCGCCGACCCTCGAGGTTGTTCCCCACAGGCTGTGTACGGTAGGCGCGAGAGCTGTAGGCTGCCTCGCATAGCGTACACGGCTCTTCTGACTAGCCTAGGAGCCGGATCTTCCACCGAGCCTCTGTACTGCGCATGGGCGTCCCAATGCGAAGCTTCGTTCGTGGCCGGCTGTGAACCCACAGCTGCCGCTCCCCGGTGACGCCGGCCAATAAATACAACGGCGCAACTTCAATATGCGGAAACACCCTCACAAAGGTAAGAGATCACAGCGCTGAGAGAATATCTCTATCGTACTTTGTAGAGATGCAAGTGGAATCTCCATTCGCACTTACCAGAGTCGGCTGCCATGGAAAAGACCGAGCTGTACGAGGTGCTGAACCGACAGCTCGTAGAGCTCTATGCGTCGCTCGACCAGATGCAGAAGAACCTCCAGCGCACGACCGCCGTGAGCGCGCAGACGCACAGCATGAGCCACGCCTTCCTCGGCATGTACGTCGTCGTCTCGCCCACCTCGCCTCATCTCATGCACGATGGCATAGCGTCCAGCCAAGCAACCCGCTGAGCGAGATCGGCGCCGAGAAGAAGCTCCGCGCCAAGGCCGTCGCCTTCGAGTAAGCTGCATCAGACGCAACCATGAACCATCTCGGCGCTCGTCAAGGCGAAAAGCGAGTCGAGACCGCGCCACCGAGACTGCAACCAAGGAAATGTGGATACAAGCTCATGCAATCCAACAGCGTTTGGTACGACAGGCTTCGTAGCGCCGCTGCAGATGGGCATTGCCTACAGCGTACGAGCTTGGTTCCGATCCAAAGGTCTAGCTAGCTACACGGCCCGAGCATCGAGTCGCCGCAGTGTGAAGCAACGGCTTGGCATGCGACAAATCACTCCAACCAAACATGTTGCGCAAGCCCCTGTTCCAAATGTAGAAGCAGTTGCCGTCAGCTTGGGATCGAGACACTTCGACAGTCGACGACGATGCGAACTACTGGATGCAAGTATCAAGCTGATGGTAGAGATGCCAAATGACGTGAGGTCAGCAACACGGTGCTGCCTCGAGTTCGCGGACGCGCACGGCGGTGCATCCAAACGAGCCCACCGGGGTTTCAGTGTGCGGCAACAGCAGGAAACATCTAGCTTGTCGATGCACTCTGCAGCATCACTTTGGCTAGTCTCGAGATTACCTACCCCTGACTAGCGAGTATGATGTTGCGCAAAGCGCAGCATGCACCGATGCCGGGCTGCTACTGTACCGCATCGGCGTCGCAACGACCACACCAGTGGTTGTGACCCACGTCTGCAACCGCACTCTACGCCGGCGGTCGCACACGTCGTTCCTTCTAGTATCTCATAATGGCTAAGAGTCGTCGTTCTGCAAGTCGATGCGCGGCAAATGACTGCTGGTCTACTTCTGGTTGCATCGTAGGACGAGGCCCCAACGGTCGTACGAACAACCAACGGTGCGTCGACCAACCACACAAGAGCCCGTTGCCTCTCTTGCCGCCCGTTCGCTTTGAAATATAATAAAAAACGTGGCGATCGTCAAGCACAGATTGCAGTTTGCTACGATGGCGCAACCGAACGACCTTGAAGCGACACGGTCGAGCAACAGTATGGGGGCAGCGCTCTGGGCGGCTGTCGTCGACGCGCTAACGACGTTCCGCGAGCTTCATGGGCATGTCGACGTGCCGGCCGACTTTGCCGTTCCGGCGACTGCACCATGGTCCGATGTTGTCCATGGCATCCACCTCGGGCTGCTCGTGGTCTTTCTTCGCACGCGGCCCACGATCGATCCGGTAATCAAGACGACCCTTGACGCGCTGGGTTTTGACTTGACGCCCGTGCGCATCGTGCAACGCCGCCAGTGGAGCTGGGTGCATCGGCTCGAGGCGCTGTGCTTGTATCGAGAAGCACACGGTCATATGAAGGTGCCACAGCGGTACGTCGTGCCAACGTCGTACCCACAGCACTTGCACCACCTGCCGCTTGGCCATTTGGTCAGCAGCCTGCGCTGTCAAAGCATTGCTTACACACCCGAACGAGTGCAACGAATTAGCGACCTCGATGCGCTCGGATTCCTCTGGCGTCTGTCGTCCAAGAATGCGACGTATTGCGTCGTGCATCGCCCAGGCAAGCGCGCGCCCATGGCTCAAACCGTCGCGTGGTCGGAGCAGATCGAGGCGCTTCTCGTCTTTCGGCGTCTGCACGGTCACGCCAATGTGCCAGACGGGTTCATCGTGCCACCCGAAGCGGACGTGTGGCCGCTTCCGATGCACTACGTCGCTCTCGATCTCGCACTCACGTTGCTGCGCGTGCATGTCTACGAGCTGCCCAAGACCGACGCCGACCGGCTCCGAGAAGCTGGTTTCTTTGCCGATCTGCCCGACTTCAGCACATTCATTGAGCTGCTCGCCATCTACCGC